TGAGGCCGCTGCCGCTGTCTCGTCTCACCAACGGCCGTGCAGATCGACCAAAACGCGTCAGCGACACCGGGGCGCTCCAGCTGCCGAAAGCTAGTCATGGCCCAGGCTCATATCATGGAGGACGAGCGAACAACGCGCTTGCCCCTTGCTCGTTGCGTATGCTTGGCCTGCTTGCGAGGAGAGGCATCGCACGTACTACACCCCGCCTCGCCGTCGCCGCCACGTCCAGAAGATCAGCCAGCGCGCTAGCGTTAAACACGACGATGCCGAAACGCAAGTCCGCCACCGCGACCGACACCTCTCAACCAGCTCCTGCAGAAGAGCAGTCCACCCCCGTCAAGCGGCCCCGCCGGACCAAAGCACACGGTGGGATCGAGCACCTTTCAGCGAGGGAGGTGGACGACATCGCCAAGTTCTCCGTGAAGCTGGTTACAGGCACGGTTGTCGCTGAGGCGATCAAGGTGGAGGAGGTCTCTACCCCTGCGAAGAAGCGCAGGTCGAATAGGAAGAAGACGGATCCTGTGGCCGAGGCGACTCAGCAGGAGAGCACGCCGGCTTCGGCCAAAAGGAAGCGCACCCCCAAAGCCAAAGCAGCCGTTCCCGCCGAACCAGACACGCCCGGCACCGCAGTATCAATACCTCGCCGTTCCTCCCGCGCGCGCAAGGTCCTCCCCTCGGATGCGTACGCCGACTGCCAAGAGTCTGCCCCCGAGGACACCCCCACAAAGCGCCGCCGCCGTCGGAAGGCCGACGAGCCCGTAACATACGTAATCCCCCCCGTCGAGCGCCTCCAGACTACATTCCACGGCCGCCTCGGCTACGCATGCCTCAACACCGTCCTGCGCCAGCTGCCTGAGCCGGTGTTCTGCAGCCGGACTTGCAGGCTTGATACGCTGAGGCGGGAGGGGGTGGAGTTTGCCAAGGAGCTGGGGCTGAGGAACGTCGAAGATTTGGGGAAGATGATCGAGTGGAATGAGGCGAACAAGTGCGTGCGCTTTCATGTGTCTTGGAGAATTGCGGCGCCAACGGGCAGGCGCATATAGCAGGATACAGAACTGATGGGAAGAGCAGGATCAAATTCATGCGCGTCTCGAGCGACATGTTCCCCTTCGCCTCCCACGGCGAGCACGGCTACTCCCTAGAGTACGCCGACTCGGCCCTGCGCGCCGCCGGTGCCCTCGCCAAGAAGTACGGCCACCGCCTAACCATGCACCCCGGGCAGTTCACGCAGCTCGGTTCTCCCAAGCCGGGCGTGGTGGCCGCCTCCGTGCGCGAGCTGGAGCACCAGTGTGATATTCTGGACCGGCTCGGCGTGGGTAGGGACGGGGTGATGATCATCCACATGGGCGGGGTGTACGGCGACAAGCCCGGCACGATCGCGCGGTTCAAGCAGAACTGGCGGGGGCTGAGCGAGAAAGTGAGGGACAGGCTGGTGCTGGAGAACGACGAGCTGTGTTATAATGTTGAGGAGCTGCTGCCGGTCAGTGAGGAGCTCGGGGTGCCCATCGTCCTGGATTGGCACCATGATTGGATTTATGTGCGTCCCCCCCCCCCCCCCACGCCGTCTCAACCCAGGCACAAAACACCGCTAACCGCCACCCAAGCCCTCCTCCCAGTCCCCAGCAGAGCTCATGCCCCGCATCCTGTCCGTCTGGCAGCAGAAGGGTATAAAGCCCAAGCAGCACCTGTCCGAGCCCAGGCCCGGCGCCGTCTCGGTCGTCGAGAAGCGGGCGCATGCAGATCGGTGTGAGCGGCTGCCGGAGGGGATGCCGGGGGACATGGACTTGATGATCGAGGTGGGTCGTCCTTCCCATTGTCATGCCCTCGCCTCCCCGCGCGCTTGTGTGGCGTTGGGCCAGGGAGGGTGTGAGCATCTATCTGATCAGAAGCGCAGGCGAAGGATAAGGAGCAAGCAGTGTTTCACCTGTGGAGGATCTATGGGCTCGAGGAGCCGTTGCATGAGAACCTCAGGCCGCCTAAGGAGGTTCAGGAGTTGGCGACGAATGGGCGGAAGGCTAGGAAGGTCAAGAAGTGCGTGCCCATCCAACAGCCATTATAGTTACGAAGTATGCTGACGGGGCGTGGGTAGGAAGAAGATGGGCAGTGATGAGGAGCATGAGGAGGTCGTCCTTACTGAGCCGGACAAGGAAGGCGATGAGCGGGTGCTGGTGGATGCCATACCTGGGGAGGAAGGGGCGGAGAGCGAACTGACTGATATGGAGGAGGAGGGATGAGACAGCCACCCGCACACAAAACATATTAGCCAGCACACTGCAGACGGCCGTGACTATAACGCAACAAGCCCTCGAGGCTCTCGTACCACCTCCCAATACTGAGGCGTATCGATAGTCTGTAACAACACTTCACTCTTGCATTTTCTTCGTGCCATCGAGCGCTCCTTCGATATCGCCTCACCGCCCTCCCCCACTCTTCACGGCCCCACTCCAAAGGTGGTGGCACGTGACGACGACCCATGCCAACGGTCTCCAGCGACGCGCGCCGTCTCTTGGGCCAAGCTCTTCTTCCCACAGCCCACAGCGACCGCCGTGACGCTCCTCGCGGGCCATCAGCCTATCTCTCCTCCAACTGCAATGGACTGTATGTAATCACAGAAGCCTAAGCGGTTAGTATGCCAATCGTGTGAGCGCTTGGCGTCACCGAGTACGGTAGTCAGGCAGTCAGGGACCGAGCGGTTATGGTATCATCCCTCCTTCCTCGCGTTGGAGTGTTCACGCACGCCTCTGGGCGTCCCCCTCTCCCCACTCTCTCTCCCGTTCTCTCTTTCTCCCTCTATCTACTTCGTAAGGTGCTGGTCACTTGCGCTGGACGCCGAGCTGGACGACTAGGATACCCCCTGCACCGGAACTCATACCACACTCCTCCTTCCGGTCCTCCTGTATCCCTGCCCCACACCCCTGCCCGGCTAACGTCACGGAGAGAAGGCAACCTCAACAGCATGTCTCCCCACCACCCAAAGAAGCTCTCCGCCCTCGGCCACCTGCAGCAGATGTTCCCCCCCTCCCCGACCTTCTGCCCCGCGCGGGACATGCCCCCCCTCCCCGGCATCCACTGCATCGTCACCGGCGGCACGTCGGGCATCGGCCTGTCCACCGCACGCGCATTACTGGCCGCAGGCGCACATGTGTGCCTCATGGCCCGCTCGAGCTGGAAGGGCGAGCGGCTCGCTAGGGAGCTGGAGAAGGAGGGCTTCGGGGGAAGGGTCGAGTTCGTCCCCCTGGATCTGGGGGACCTGCGCTCGGTGCGCTCCGCTGCAGAAGCGTACATGGTGGCACACGACCGCTTGCACCTCCTGATCAACAACGCCGCTGTGCTCCTCCCCGGCGTGCACGGCGCCCAGGCCGTCTCGGCACAGGGGTACGACGCCCAGTTCGCGACGAACGCACTGGGGCATTGGCATCTGACCATGCTATTGATGCCCCTGTTGAGGGAGACGCTCTGCCTGCTGCCGATCTCTCCCAGCCCGGCGAGCAGCACGGACAGCCTGCCGAGCCTGACACGCACCGTCGACAGCGCCTCCCCCTCCGACTCACTCGCCTCCCCTTCCGAGGCGTGGTCGCCCCCCCAGGCTGAACAATCCCCCGCGCAGCAGGAGCTGACAGCAGCGGCGAGGATCGGCGTGCGCGTCCTCACCCTCTCGAGCAACGTGCACCAGTTTGCACCCAAGGGAGGCGTGGTGTGGTGGGCTATCCAGCCGTCTGTACCCGGGGAGGCTAGGGAGCTCGTGCGCCGGAGGATCGGCGGCATGGGCTTGTATGCGATGAGCAAGATGGTGCGCCCTTCTTACTTCTTCTCTACTCTGGGAGTGTGCTGACGGGTGTTGGGGCAGGCGAACGTGCTGATGTCTCAGTATCTTGCGCGTACCCTGGGGTACACGGGCATCATATTCGCGACCGTCCACCCGGGAGGGATAAAGAGCTCGCTATTCCGCTCCGCTCCAAAGTGGCAGAACACGCTCACGGTGCGCCACCTTTTTCCTCCTCGCATTATATGCGGCACTATGCTGACATCGGGCCAAGAACTGGATCCTCTACCCACCCGAGTACGGCGCCCTGACAGCGCTCTGGGCAGCGACGTGCGAGGGCGGAAGGGAGCTGAACGGAAAGGTACGCCTTTTGGCTATGATGCTGTGGCGTCGGGGCTCATATATGCACGCAGTATTGTATCCCCTGGGCGAGGGTGGGCGCGGCGAGGGGCGACGCGGAGGACGTGGGGCTGCAGGAGAAGCTCGTGGCGCTCATGGAGGAGATGCGGGCTGGTTTCTAGCAGCTGTATGCGTATGCGCGCTTGCAAGGGCGTTGTAACATTAACCATCAACATGGGTTTGTGGAACTGCGTTTGTCAAGTCGGGTTCGGTGGCCAACTACAGTAGTTGGTTCACAAAGCCAACCAAGAGCTTGAAACAGCTGACGCGAACCGGAACCGAACGGGCAACCAGTCAGCTCTGACATCGGTGAACCATTCGGTTGGCCACCTCGGTGTGCAGACCGAATCCGATTGCGTGAAGGAGTGCAACCAAACTGGGACCGAACCCGGAAACCGAGCAACCTCTGAGATCGGTGAACCAGTTTGGAACCGATTCCAACCCGCTTTCAAACCGACTTCAAATGGAATTCAAGGAGTGGCCTACACATATTCCGCTCATCGCATCCGGTCGGAAACTGATATTCCAAACGATTACAGTCTCTCCGCAATGAAAAGAGAAACTCAGTCTATGTCTATCAGTTGATTGTTGATTGATGTTTCAAAGCCATGAACTTGTAAGGTAGCTGCTGGGAAACTGCAAAGCGGAGTGTGAGCCGCGTCCGAGCGTGGATTGTCTTAGAAATTTGTGCTTCAGAAGTTACTATCTGATAGGAAATGTATTAGCTATTGTATTATCTCCGGCTAGCACATTCGGTCAGCGTCAGATATTCTGAAAGCCCGAAAACTGCTTCCGTTACGTGTACTTGTAACTTCAGAGTTTATGACGAATTGTTACGTCCCGGCTAGCGCAATCGGTCAGAGCGTCAGACTTTTATGCATACGTGTGGAATCTGAAGGCTACGAGTTCGACTCTCGTGTCGGGAGACAAAAGCTATATTTTGGCGCATGTGTGTTTGACCCACGGTCCTCCTATCCGCACCATGTTGTAGTGGGCGACTGCAAGTTCTCTCCGGCAGCCTCTCACATCAAATTACATGCTCCTCCTTCTCGATAATGTAAGACCGCGTCCTGGCGGGGCTCGCAGAAACGCTCCGTGTGTTATACCACCGCTAAAATATTCGCCATATACACTGCTGTAGTGGGGACGGAACCAAATGCTGTTTGTACTATACGGAGGAAATTTTCACCAAGTCCACTGCCGTAGTTACATCCCCAAAGGATCAAATGCCATCTGCTGCCAGCAGTCCGTATGCACCTATCTGTTCTATTCGACACGCCCTTCGGCCCACAGATGGGCCTATCCCACGGTTGCAGCAGAGCAACTTATGCTCAGACATCACATTCTTCGGTCGGGTCAGAAGGGCACTTCGGCCCGCAGTCCTCCCCGGTGCAGATGCGTCGCTCGCCCAGATCGGTGACGAGAACGGGGGACGTCAGGGACGCGCTGAGCAGAGTGAGTGTCAGGACGAGAGGAGGGCGTTAAGCTGCATTAGATCTTGGGCTGCTGTGGACTTCAAGGTTGGTTGTTCCCAGAAGTTGGATTGAATTGGGGTGCAGTGCAGCTCACAGGTTCGATGTGTAATAGCTGTACGTTGGTGAGGAGCAGTGGGGAGACTACAAGCCAGGCTACCATTCCTTTTTATATTCGAAGCCTTATCATGTACTAATACACAGCCGAATACTACCTCACAGCCAATCCTTAGCTTTTCATATGGAAGCGTCGTACGCAGCTGCCATCTAGTGCCTTGGACCCGCGGAGACGGTCTTTGTTCTAGCGCTGATAGGAACTGTTAGCGTTGATGAAAGAGCACACGGCATGCGGCATGCTTTTCGAGGTATGATCACAGTTTCGTCTGATGCTGGCAACCTGCACACAGTTCGCCTCATGGGAAAAGGTTGAACAGCTCATGTTTATCCGTGTGCGAATCCCGTAGATAGAGACTTACAGTATCAAACAGCATAAGTTGCTTTCCATAGATGTAGGACGGTACAGCACAACTCTGACAGTTCAATTTCTACCCAGTACGTCTCCTTAATCCTTATCTCCCCGCTCTCTGCCTGTGTTGGAAGAACTCTCCACAACGTTTGACTCCTAAACACATCCAGAAGCAGGACATGTATAGCAAACGCGGCCCGCCACGCACTCAGTATCCGGCTCTTCTTCCGAGAGGGGCATGGGTGTAGGCGCAGGAGCAGGGGCTGCCATGGCCGTAGCGAAAAGCGCCGCAACAAGGGCGAGGACGAGCGACTTAGTGTACATGGCTTGAGAGCTTCCTGTTTATACCATAGGTTATCTCAGATGGTAGATCTCTTGGGTGGGAACGTATAGGGAGGTCAACGATACGGATACGCTCTGAGCTACCTGGGATGAATGTGGAGATCAGAGCAAGAGTGGTGACCGTAGGATAGCAAGCCGCGCACCAGATCAGGGTGGCGGACCGTAGCTACTCGTAGACAAGATCCGCGCGTCGGATCCCTGCTCAATCCAATCGCTTGTTCATCTCAGGTTATGAGCCCTGATCGTTGCTGAACTACATCCAAAGTCACCGTGAGCGATCCAACGATAGATCATGTCGAACGAATCCGACACAGTCACCACCGTGAAGTACACGGTCAAGCCTCTCACAAGAGAGAACTGGATCTCGTGGAAGTTCCAGATCCAGTCCGTGCTTGAAGAACAAGACCTCTGGGAATATGTCACCGGAGAGATCCTGAAGCCGGACCAGCCAGCTCAGAATGCAAGCGCAAGTGAGAAGCAGACAGCCGAGAAGGCCATTCTGGCCTGGAAGAAATCAGATCGAAAGGCGAAGAACCAGATCACGAACAACCTTGACGATGAGATCCTCCTAAACGTGATCCAATACGAGACATCGAAGGAGATCTGGGACGGTCTCAGCACGTACATGCAAGACCAAGGTCAATTCGGATATGCAGTCCTCCGTCGCAAGATCATGACCACGCACTATGACGACTCGACCGATATGAAGGACCATATCAGCACACTCCGCAAGCTCCGGATCCAGCTGCAGCAGACCGGAAATGAGATCCAGGATGTCGACTTTGCTTGGATCCTGATCACGTCGCTCCCACCCGATACCTGGCGTGACTTTGTGAGCCGGTACAACTCAGTCAAGAACCCCAAATCCGAGGATGTCATATCAGCTATGATCGGCGAGTACACGCTCCGCAAGGAGGCATCTGGAGAGGGGGAGCAGGCAAGCGCACTCTACTCAAGGGAGAGAGGCAAAGGATCCAGGGGTCGGGGCGGAGGTCGTGGTCGAGGCACCGGACGAGGTCAGGAGAAGGACCGATCCAAAGATGAGTGCTACAACTGCGGGAAGGCCGGACACCATGCAAAGGAATGCTATTCCCGCGGAGGAGGCCGAGCTGGCGAGACCCCACCATGGCGTCAGAAGAACTCAGATCGAGCGCAGTTCGCGAAGGAGAAGACCAAGAAGACCGATGGATCTGATACCGTGCTCCTATCATTTGAACGCGCTCAAGACCGGGCGATGCTTGTGAACTCGGGCCAGCTCACCAGATCTGATTGGCTTGCAGACACCGGAGCATCAGCTCATATTGCATCAGACCGTGATCTGTTTGAAGACTATGTGACGACCAGCACATCACTCTTGGGTCTGGGCGACAAGTCCAGCACCGTCCTAGGTCGAGGAACGATCCGTCTCACATTCATGAATGACGGATCTGAGCACAATGTGATCCTGAAGGATGTGCTCCATGCCCCAGATGCAGGCATCAATCTATTGTCGATCCCCCGATGTGATCTCGCTGGAATGCATACAGAGATAGGGGGAGGACGGCTCATCATGAAGAAGAAGACCGGGCAGATTGTCGGATCTGGCAAGCTCATGAGCTGTAACCTGTACAAGCTCTCGATCAAGAGCTCCGACAAGACCAATCGGGTCTATGTGGCTGCATCCGATCACATCATGGCCTGGCACGAACGTCTTGGACACCTGAACATTGGGTACATCCGACAACTGATCAGCAAGAGCATGGTCACGGGCCTGAAGGTCAATCTGAAGACCAATGAATGTGTCTGCGAGGGATGCGCGATGGGCAAGCATCACAAGGCCCCGCTCCCGAACCATGAAGGCCCGCGGACGCGTGTCAGCAAACGGCTGCACAAGATCCACCTGGATCTGATGGGGCCGTTCCCCCCATCCATCGGATCATGCGAATATGTCCTATCAATTGTTGATGATGCGACCAGTTACATGTGGATCTACGTCATGAAAAAGAAGAGCGAAACACTCACAATGTTCAAGCAGTTCAAGAACACAGTTGAGCTTGAGACCGGAGATCAGATCCGGGTCATACAAGCTGATAATGGTGGCGAGTTCATAAACAAGAACTTCGAATCTTTCCTGGCCGAGACTGGGATCAAGCTGATCACGTCTGCTCCGCACACCCCAGCACAGAACGGGACAGTTGAACGGAGCCAGCGGACCGTGGTCGAGCACATGAGGTGCATGCTTGAGGAGAAGAAACTTGCAAAGGGGCTCTGGGCGGAGATCCTGTCAACATCCGTCTATCTGAAGAACAGAAGCCCGGCTTACGGTCTGGAGATCACACCATATGAGGCCTATCATGGCCAAAAGCCAGATCTCTCACACCTACGCCAGATCGGATGTCAGTGCTATGTCTTGATCATGGATGACAGCCGAAAGAAACTCGATCCGAAGTCGCAGAAGTGCATCCTGGTTGGATACGAGCAGAACATGAAGGGCGTGTACCGGTGCTGGGATCCATACACCAAGACAATCCGCAGATCACGCAGCGTGATCTTCAATGAAGCATTTACTCAGCGCGTACAGCCAGATCCGCTCATAGAGGTCACCTCCGTCGAGGGGGAGCGGCAACCTCAGAGCGACGGAGATGACAAGATTGATCGGACCGAAGACGATGAAGTCGAAAGCCTGCTGAATGGACCTCCTGAGCCAGAACAGACCGGACCAAGAGTCCGCCCAAGGATCGATTATGGACCTGCAACCAGAGTCAGTGCCCGGATCAAGGAACATCGCGAATGGCAGCTTACTGAAGGCGATCCAGCAGATCTGGAGCGAGCCAAGATTGCAGTCGAATATGCATTCCTATCCATGGATATGGACCGAGACCATGAGGAACCACGATCCTACACAGAGGCGATCCAATCCGAGCAAGCAGAACAGTGGCATGAGGCTGCACAGAAAGAGATTGACCAGCTCGAGCAGCGTGGAACTTGGGAACTGGTCAAGCGGCCCAGCAATGCAAAGATCATTGGATCTAAATGGGTATTCAAGATCAAGCGCGACAAGAACGGAAAGATCGTACGTTACAAGGGCCGGCTCGTTGCCCAAGGATTCAGCCAAGTTCACGGTGTGAACTATTTCGACACATTTGCACCAACCGTCAAACCAACCACAATCCGGATCCTCCTGGCCCATGCAGCAGTTCATGACTGGGAGATCCACCAGATCGACGTGGTCGGAGCATATCTGCATGGCGAGCTCAAGGAAGAGCTGTACATGCGCCAGCCCGAAGGATTTGTTAAGCCAGGATCCGAGAACAAGGTCTGCAAATTGATCAAAGGTCTGTATGGACTGAAGCAGGCCGGACATTACTGGTACAAGAAGCTCGCCGGAGCTCTTCAAGAACTCGGATTCAAGATCCTCGAGACCGATCGAGCATGCTTCATCCGCAAGGATCCGTTCTGCATAATCACAATGCATGTGGATGATGGATGGATCTTCACGAAGACCGGACCTGAAGACATCATCAAGATCAAGAACCAGATCAAGAGCATGTTCCAGCTCACGGATGAGGGCGAGCTCCATTACTCGCTAGGTCTGGAGATTAAGCGTGACCGGCGAGCCCGCCAGATCACAATCTCACAGACCGGACACATCAAGCATGTCCTTGAA